AACTGGCCATAGCTATCTTGCATCAAAGCTGCAAAAACACTGCCCCAAGCACCTGCCCCCACACTCACAATCCTCAAAGGATCACCATCAGCCTTTCCAAGAAGCCGCCTGAGCTCATCAACTTTCTCTTCCAAACCATTACAATTCTGAATTGATCCATTAGAGTACATGCTACCATGAAATGTGTCAATGCTTCCAACCATCCTTTTCCAAACAAAATCCACCACAAGGATCAACTTATCAATAATACCAGAGAAAACCCAATACCCCAAATTCTACTAAGAAAAAGGTTCTCAAACTATACCACTTTCTGAAAACAACCCACCTCAGATTTTATATGACTTTTGCCCTCCTGAAGTCACACCAATCAATTCCTTGCATAAAACATCAAATCTCCAATCCCCTAGAACAAATTTTTGTTGGTGGATCCCTTTACCAAAACCAAAACTAATATTCGATCTATCCCTTCAGATTTCCATACCCACCATTCAAGCTAATATCTTTCTTTTTTTTTTCTGTAATAAATTCAATGTACAAGAGCAGAAAACTACAAATTAGAGAATTCTGAAGTATACTAAACCGTGATGAGACAAATAGTAGTCTCTAATAGTCAAATAATATTTTTGCTTTCTCCCTCTGAGTTTGTTCATCTACCCAACTATAAATACCTTTTCAAAGAAATGAAAAAGGCAAATTAAACAAAGTAAATCAAATATACCAACCTTTTGCGTGTCCTTAGTAACAAACCTCAGCTTCAGTCAAACCCAGAAGAGATCTTGAGAATTGAATTGCATAATTCGGAGGGAAACGAAAAGCATAGTATCCCAGAGAAATGGAGGGAATGCATGAACTTTTTCACATAAAAACATCAAAAGTGCATGGGAAAGAAAGAAAAGGAAACAAGGAATGGGTGAGGAAAGGAGTAAAGCAATTACATTTATATGAGAGTTTGGGTGTAGAGAAGGCATTTAAGTTTTGGGAAGATGCCAACTTCCCCAACGGTCATTAATATTGGATGACTCTGGTTTGGTCACCTCTCCCCATTATCCCATGGGTGCTCACCCTCAAATGTTAATTAGCCTCCATCTTCTGTACCAAGACTAAATTGCACTTTTCTTGGTGATTTCTTCTGTTTTCATGAATATTTTTACCATACCAAAACCTCCTTGGCATATTCTAATGTAAATTTTTTTTTTTTCCAACCATCTCTTATTTCTTAATCCACCGTATAAGTGCGAAATGAGAGAGACACAGGGTAGAGCTTTTCTTCAATCCTAATTCTAGACTTTCTTCTTCTTCCTCCTCCTTTTTTTTTTTTCTTTTGGTCTTTGAAATGAGATTCAAGGTTAAGGCTTTTGATCCCTTTTGTGTGCAACCCTTGTCCAATGCCTTCTTAAATTTATTTATTCTTAATAAAAATTTTTTGGAGTAGGGCATTTGCCCAACCCCTCATGAATATAGGTTTGTTTTTATTTGTATATTATATAATTTAAATTTAAATATTTTATTTAAAAAATTATTATTAAATTATTTAAATTATTAACCTTTCGAATTTAATACCTTCAATTTAAATCATTTAAAACATTATAACCACTTAGTTTTGTTATAAATGATGTGATGTAGACAAATAAAAAAAATTAGAGTACAAATTACCATTAGTTAATATGCACAGGTGGGAAAGTTGTGGGAAAAATCCGGTCTATAGATGAGATCTCGAGTGCGCTTAAGATGGGATTTTTCTCGTTTATATGGGTCTAAATCAAATCAAAGTAATTAATATCGTATTCGTATACGTATTTGTATACGTATTGATTTTACTACTGAAACGGTACGTACTGAATATTAAAATTTTTTATATACCGTTTCAGATTTATTGTTATAAATATATATTTTTATAAATTAAATATCAAATTTTGAAATAAAATAAGAGATACTAATATTTAAAACCATCATATTTTTATAAATTGAAAACAAGTTTAAAATGATCATTTTTAGACTCTCAATTTCTAATATATGCATATTTTTTGTCCATCTATTTTAAATTAAGGGACTAAAAATGTGTATATTTAAACAAATTTAATAAAATAATTGATAGAAAGACTAAAAAAAAAAGAAAAATGGATTAAAAAAGTACATAAAAAAGTTAAAGAATAAAAATTATATATAACATTAAAATTGAGGACTAAAAATGAAATTTACTCATTTTTAAATTTGAATTGAGTTGTATGGACAATTTTTGGGTACCGTATCTGAAATTCCAATGGTAGGGGACGAAGAAGCTCCTGGCCCAAAACGACGTCGTTTTAGGTTAGGAAATCCCTTTTTTTTTTAATTGCCAGTGTGTACTGGTCAAAATTTTGATGAATCGACTAGTACATCGAATTTTGATTGAATCAATCGGATTTTGACCAAAATAAATTTTTATATTATACCGTTTCAATCAACATAAAAAATCGGTATGTACCGATCATACTCACTAATACAATACGAAATTTACTTCCTCAGTCTAAATTAGATTATATTTGTGCCAATATGATGTTAATAGCCGTGCAAGTCACATGATAAAAATATATTTATTTTATCTTTTTTTTTTTAAACATTTTTATCATGGAATCAACTCAAACCGTTACTTTAAGGGAAGGGATATAAACCTTACAAACGTAGTTAGAGCCACTTGGTCCGAAGGGTTAAGTTCATTTATTTTATCTTAATTATAACACTAACGTAAAATTTAAGAGTTAAAACACAAAAAGTATACGTTGAAACTTAAAGGGTTAATAGTTTTGAAGATAAATAGTTAAAAGATTTATTTAATATATTTAATTTAAGAGAAATAAAAAAAAACAAAAAAAAAGGAGAAATACTAAATAAAGGAATTTTCACTCTCTCTCTCTCTCTCGAATCAAGTATAATATTAATCTTTAATCTGTACATTAAAAAAAAATAATTCTTCACGTATAAATCAACTCGTTTACTATTAGGTTATTGGAGGAAACACCTTTTGAGTTGAAAGTCCGAGTTTTTGGTAATCTCTTTTTCTTATTCTCTGTTAGTAGAATATCAATAAGTTTGATTGTAATTTGTTCAAAATAATAATAATAATAAAAAATAAATAGAGAACAAATTCTGCAAGAAGAAAAAAAGAAAAAGAGAGAACAGAAAATTGTGTTGTCCACAGCAGCAACCCACGTGAATGCCAATCGCAATCGAGCTAAAAATGGCAAAGCATGAGTTAAATTAAAAGCTAGGAAATCATTTCTTTACCGAGGAGATATAAAAACAATAGAAAGAAGACCATAACTAAGTACACACTCTTCCATGTACATTGCAATAACCCATTTTGGTACATCTAACAAATGACCTGCTAAATATAGGACATTCATCCTCTTTTCCTCCTTTTTTTTTTTTTTCAAACCAAACATACTTAAAATAAATCTCTGTTGAGAGGGAGGAGGGAAGAAAGATGAAAGAGAAAAGAAAGATACCGATGGCGTACCAAATAAAGGTGAGTATTTTCATGTATAGATTAGGTATGAGATATATTTAG